AGATGTAACATCGGACGGGGTCGTTAGTCACGGCAAGCACACACACGCATAACGAGATAGTAACAAATAAGATCTGTTAAGATAAAGGAATTGGTAAACAGTAAACAAGGGAAGGATGCGATATGAGGGGTTACCAAGAGACTGTACAATTGATCCATTTGGAGTGAGGGATGATCACAGAATATCAGTTAGCTACCGGTGGGGATTGCAATGCTGTGGGCAACTGAGAGTAAGGGCCATGGGGTTGCTGACAGTAAGGATACACCGGTACGGAGCAATACGATACGGTAAGAAGGAGAGCGGTGTAAGCGAGGGAACTGTTTAGGAACGCCAGCGTCTTTGCCAACAGACGACCACACCATCCTCATCCGGATCCGTGCCAGAAGTGACCTTTGCACATTCAAACTTTCATGGCCCAGCATGGCCCAGCATGGTCCATTACATAAATGAATAGCTCTCTGTCGTGAGTATCTTTCCATTTCACTGCTCAAATGGAACATTCGCTTTTATGTCGCCTATATGTTCATCTTTAACTCGATTTTCCTGACCAAAGAGTCACCAGTTGACCTTTTTTTCAATCAAAATCGAGTACCTCAAGATGCCACGCCATCGCTTTACCGTACTGCGGGCATACCGATGACCTAAGGTCACTGCTTCTCTTAAACGAATCGATAAAAGTGTTGTGGAGTACCACTATGAAAACCATGATAATCTTCAACTCCTTAAAGGGTACTTGCATTTGTTTCCTGAGGAGTTATTAGAAGTGGGTTTCTTAGTAGCCAGAGCGGACGTTTCGGCCACGGCCATCTCCCAATCTTGTGTAAATAAAATCCCTCTCACTGAAGTTACGAATGTCTAAGGTTTTCCTGTTATACTGCCTTCTAGATTATCCTAGCGGGCTTTCAAATTTGAGCTGCCGGTTTTTTGCTCTCCATTCACGTGGGAATTTATTATTGTATACTAGACTTTCTACTTCTTTACTTTGTTTTTCTGCATTTCTGGTCATGAGGTCATCTCTGC